TGTACTGTGTATATTTATTATGTATATATATATATATATATATGTATATATTTCAGAAACTTGTTTAAATATTAAATATATTTAATTATAATAAGCTATAAATTATATGACTATAAATATGTACATGTAGATATTTTCAAAATAAATAATTTGTGTGTGTGTGTATTTATATACACATAATAATCATACACAGCACACACACATATTTTATGTAAACAAAAACTTTTATTTTGGATGCGATTATTCGCGATTAATCATTTGACAGCACTAATTTATAGCCATTGTCCTTCGTGTGAATGTCCTTAAAACTTTCAGAATCTGAAATCAGAGTGGATTCATTTTAAATGATAAAATCAGTGCATGTAACCCGTCTCACCTTCTCTGCGTTATACGTGACAGAATAATCAGAGTTCACAAACAGGATGTTCTCTGGCTTGAGGTCTGTGTGTGTCAGCCTGTTGTCATGGAGAACTGTCAGAGAAACAGACCATAATCAGAAAAATACACTGTTCAATAGCTTATTTATTCAGCTTTTAGATGATGTATAAATCTCAATTTCTAAAAATGGACCTTTATGACTGGTTTTGAGGTCCAGGGTCACATATGGAACCATGAGTGTGTGTGTGTGTGAGAGCGAGTGTGTGTGTGTGTGTGTGTGAGAGTGAGTGAGTGTGTGTGTGTGTCTGAGTGAGTGAGTGAGTGTGTGAGTGAGTGAGTGAGTGAGTGAGTGAGTGAGTGAGTGAGTGAGTGAGTGAGTGAGTGAGTGAGTGAGTGAGTGAGTGAGTGAGTGAGTGAGTGAGTGAGTGAGTGAGTGAGTGAGTGAGTGAGTGAGTGAGTGAGTGAGTGAGTGAGTGAGTGAGTGAGTGAGTGAGTGAGTGAGTGAGTGAGTGAGTGAGTGAGTGAGTGAGTGAGTGAGTGAGTGAGTGAGTGAGTGAGTGAGTGAGTGAGTGAGTGAGTGAGTGAGTGAGTGAGTGAGTGAGTGAGTGAGTGAGTGAGTGAGTGAGTGAGTGAGTGAGTGAGTGAGTGAGTGAGTGAGTGAGTGAGTGAGTGAGTGAGTGAGTGAGTGAGTGAGTGAGTGAGTGAGTGAGTGAGTGAGTGAGTGAGTGAGTGAGTGAGTGAGTGAGTGAGTGAGTGAGTGAGTGAGTGAGTGAGTGAGTGAGTGAGTGAGTGAGTGAGTGAGTGAGTGAGTGAGTGAGTGAGTGAGTGAGTGAGTGAGTGAGTGAGTGAGTGAGTGAGTGAGTGAGTGAGTGAGTGAGTGAGTGAGTGAGTGAGTGAGTGAGTGAGTGAGTGAGTGTGTGTGTGTGTGTGAGTGTCTGTGAGTGAGTGTGTGTGTGTGTGTGTGTCTGTGAGTGTTTGTGTGTACTCACACTTGACGGCGAGGCAGATCTGGTAGGCCATGTGTCGCACCTGACTGATGGAGTAGGGCAGGTAACTGTTCTCCTTCATGAAGTCAAAGGTACTGAGAGCTAACAGCTCAAAACTGATGCACATGTGACCGTGATAGTCGAACCAGTCCAGCATCTGCACACACAGACTGAGAGAGACGCGACTGTCTTTACTGTTGTTCATCCAGATAACAGAAAACTAAAATGTTATAATCAGACACTAATAGATGTGTGCATTTTGTAGGGGTGTAACAGTACACATTCATATCGGAAAAGTAAAAAGAAAAAAGTAAGCAATTTAATGTGTTGTTTTTCCACAAGTTTGTTATTATCTTTGGAGAAAAAGCTGAAAAACCCATTACACTGTGTAGCCCTCATGCATTTCAATGGGAAAGAAAAATAAACACATTAAATGTAAATCACTCAAAATGTAACTATATACTCAAGAAACAAGCATGACAACTAAATGTTTTGTCAGTCTGTGCAAAAGTCTAGACCAGAGATGCTCTGTCTGTAGCACATGGGGTTTGATCACGACCCAAACACCAGTAATAATGACACTCACTTCTTGTTTTCTGGATCTCTCTGGTTGATTTTCTCCAGGACGTTGATCTCCAGGCGAGCTGCTTCTTTGTATTTTTCCACGTTCTTGATGATCTTCAGAGCGATGTGAGACCCTCCCCTGTAACACACACACACACACACACACTGAAACACCTGTGACAATCAGCTGAGAACAGCCAGGTGTGTGTGTGTGTGTGTGTGTGTGTGAGACTCACCTGTGATGGTCGATACACTCCACCACTTTCCCAAAAGTTCCCTCCCCGAGCGTTCCCACGATCTCATCTGCACAGAAAGCACAAGCGTCACACAAACACACAGTACATACTACGAGTGAGTCTGTGAGTGAGTGAGTGTGTGTGTGTGTGAGAGAATGCAGAGTCTAGTAGTACACACATCTGTCCTGCAGCACGTCTCCTGTCCGATAGATCAGATGACCCTCCTCGTCATCCTTAACGGCCCACGCTCGCAGACGACCGTTACTCTGCTGACGAGAGAGACAAACAGAGTTACCTTTGACCCTTCAAACATCACCTCAAGCAGATCCACCTGGAACGATTCTGCCTCGTTAAACCTGTGTCTTCTGTGCAAACGACAGTGTGTGCGCTTGTGTGGCTCATTTCACTCTTGCTTCGTTTCTATGCTATTTGTGACCCTGGACCACAAAACCAGTCATAAGGGTCCATTTTTGAGAAATTGAGATGTATACATCATCTGAAAGCAGAATAAATTAGCTTTCCATTGATGTATGGTTTGTTAGGATAGGACAATATTTGAAAATCTGGAATCTGAGGGTACAAAAAAAATCTAAATATTGAGAAAATCATCTTTAAATTTGTCGAAATGAAGTTCTTAGCAATGCATATTACTAATCAAAAATTAAGTTTTGATATATTTACGGTAGCACATTTACTAAATATCTTCATGGAACATGATCTTTACTTAATATCCTAATGATTTTTGGCAGTTCTTAGCAATGCATATTACTAATCAAAAATTAAGTTTTGATATATTTACGGTAGGAAATTTACTAAATACTAAATGTCATGGATGAATAATATTTACTGAGTAATGATCTGTTTTGTAGAAATGACAATTTTCACCCGAGATTCAGAGCCAAAGTACAGGAGGGTAAAATGACTTCAGAAAGACGGCAGCATCATTGCGTTATTTTTACACAGAGATGGGTAGCTCTATTAGTAAAATCTGTTGACTCTGGCATTTGCATTATATTCTAATGGTGACACTTCAGAAATGGGAAAAAGCACTTGTGATTATTCCTGAAGCTGTCAAGCCTGTAACTCAAAAAGTAGAGCAGATATAGAAATTTCAATGTGGTTTCATGAGTAAATTGCTAAGTTGTACATATTTTCAAAGCTCAGAAACCAAATGTGGGTCATTCTGTTTACAGCTGTTGTTCTTTTAATGAGGAATGTGTGAAGAAAAAATAATGTTGAAACTAGAAATGTATCTCGTTTCCCTCTAAAACTGGAGTCATTCTGACTCTTCTCTAAAAAATACTGGGTTACTCAGTAAATATACATTCAATATTTTGGCTTTAATCACTATTTATGTTTTTCATTCTTTAGAAAAAACAAAACAAAAACAAATGTATTTAAGAATGACCCAACTGGGTTTACCTGTTCATCTGACTGAAGACTGATATAAGTCAGGAATTATACTTTAATATAAGCATTATGGTTATGCATTGGAAACCTTATAAGACACATAACTGGAACGTTTATTTGCTGTTGCACACTTGCCTGTCAGACATGCATTACACGTTCATTACTGTGAACTAAGCATTCATTATGAGCTGAGAGACGATTCTGTGATAATGAACGCTAGGGCTGTGCAATTAATCTCTGCCGCGTCTCACGGAGGAGCCGTTTACACTCGCAGCACACTATGGAAGGCCAAAAGGGCCTGAATTTTAACGAGTCAACAACGCGTTAAACACGTGTCGTTTACGCGTGAACAAATCAGCGCGTTAAATACGTGTATTCAACGTGTTAAATACACGTGAAATATGTGTTAAATACGTGTGAAGTACGCGTTAAAAATCAGTTTGAATGGGTCAGTGTCATTGGCTGCTGAGGACTTGGGTCAAACCACTTCTGTGAGCTTAGGGGAGTTTACCATTCATAGACTAGGCAACCACCATTTAACATGCTAACACGTTAAATACGTGTTGTTTACTCGTGAAATACACGTGTTTAACGCGTTGTTGACGCGTTAAAATTCACGTGTTTTTGGCCCTTTTGGCCTTCCATAGCACACACGCAGTCTGTCTCGTAATGCTCGGTTATACTCGCGCGCGGCTCCGCAACGCACGTCTCCACGAGCGCATCTGGCAATATGGACGAGGCTTGACGCGCACGCGCGCAACCTGTGTCAACTCGCGCCTGGCTCCGCGTTTAAAACAAGTGTAAATTCAGTTTAACTGCAGTGCTAATTTCACTTGGATGAAATGAAACATTCAGCACATTTTCCACTTGTTCTTTAAATCCCAAATACTTAAAAATGACTAAATCAGCCTATGTAACCAATGTAATACTTTAATAACGGACTAAAGTAATACAGTTCTTTATTTACACAAAATAAACTAATATTTCCTGTGAAATTCAGTAATTAAGTAAATTCTGTGAAAGTAGTAATACCATTATAATATTCCCTGCTGAAAAAAAAAAACAATAGAACCCCTCCCAAAACACAACAGAAAATTTAATGGATTTAAGGTTTATAATGGTAATTATATTGGCTTTAATGTACACTATAATGGTGTCTACTGGTATTTGATGGATTCTATTGGTGATATGTAATCTGGCAGATGGGAAACAATAGAACAACAGTAATTCCTATTGGAATAATGCCCAAAACACACTACAAAAAATAATTTTGTAATTGTTTTAATGGAAACCATGAGAATTTCTGTGATGGTTTCTTTCTTTTTTTCAGCAGGGTACTGATACCCATACTGTGCTGCACACTATTGACAATATTAAGCTGAAGCTTGACTTTGCAAAATTAAAATCACAAATCAAACCGCAATCGCAATATCTGTTAAAAAAAATCGCAATTACATATTTTCCCCAAATCGCACAGCCCTAATGAACGCCGCACACAGACGTGAAGCTGTGTGTTTCTCTTTAATTGGACACCTCGTCTGTCTTAATCAAGAACACAGTGACTCCAGACGAACACACAAACACGACGAGCCCAGCAGACACTTGAGAACGAGGTCAGAGATACACTCACACACACACACACACAGAGAGAGAGAGAGAGAACATCGACAGGTTCATCAATATAATGTGGACCTAAACAACTCACAATAAAACTTCTGAACAGGAAAACACAAAAAAACAACCACACACATCTCACAGACCTCTGCTGTTTCATATAAAGTTCATCCTATTGATGAGTGACTAACACAAATATGATAAACAAACAGCAAAACATTTACTTTAATCATTTTCTTCAGATTTGATCACTGCTGGAGAAACTTTTGCAGTCAGAATAAGCTAATAAACTCACAGACGGAGCGTGAAGGATACTCACACACACACAGAGACAGTCCAAGAAGCTCTTGAGCACAGAGTAAAACCCTGTTTTACCCATAACTACTGTAAAACACACACATTTACACCAGAGAGAGGAGAAAGTGCGGGAACGGGAGGAAACCTTGAAGACGGAGAGACTGTGTGTGTGTGTGTGTGTGTGTGTGAGACAGAGAGAGATGAGACTCGGGCTAATTTTAAACGCTCCTCACGGGCCCCTGGGGAAATCCTGAGACCCCAATCGAAGAGTCTGAAGAGCCAAGACCAAGAGATCTCATTACACACACACACACACACACACACACAAACCCCAACAAACACACGCACACACACACACACACAAACCCCAACAAACACACGCGCACACACACACACACACACGTACACTCGATTCGCGTTCGAGAGGGTTCCTCAAGCTGAAGGGATCCCCCGAATTTTGTTCCGGATTCGCCGTGCCGTTACGGAGATATGGCCGTTCAAAGTTTCAATGGTTTTCCATAGACTTAAGCTTTAAAGCGTTTCATCCAGGTGGCCAGTAGCAAACAATAAGTGTAAGTAAATACACCATTTCAAGCATTTTATCTGCATTATATGTTCTGTAAAAAAAAAAATCATATCGGCGGCATATTCGCCGAGACAGGCTCATATCGGCCGATAATATCGGCAAAACGATATATCGGTCGGGCTCTAATACAAACCCGGAAACACACACACACAAACCCCAACAAACACATACACACACACACACACACATGGAAACACTCACACTCACAAACTCCAACAAACACACACACACACAAACCCCAACAAACACGGAAACACGGAA